CGCCCGAGCCGCTCTCGACGCCGGCCTCGACGCCTTCATCATGAACAAGATGTTCACTCCCCGCAAATGGAACGCCCCCCTCATCTCCGAAAAGGTCAACCTCACCCCCAAGCAACGAACAATGTCCACCAAAGTCCTCGCCGACGTAGTCGAAGCCCTAATCGGAGCCTCCTACATCGACGGCGGCTTCGCCGCCGCCCACGCCTGCATCCACCGCTTCCTCCCCGAAGTGAACCTCGAGCATATCGACCGCACCACCACCACCACAGCCCCAACTCCAGAAGGCATCACCAACCACACCCTAAACGACGACCACCTAATGACGCACATCGGCTACACCTTCACTCACAAATTCCTCCTCGTCGAATCCCTCACCCACCCATCCTGTCAATTCGACACCACCACACAATCCTACCAACGGCTCGAATTCCTCGGCGACGCCGTCCTCGACATGGCCATCATATCGACCCTCCTCTCCCACCCCCACGAAATCCCGCAAGGCCAAATGACCAAGATCAAACACGCCGTGGTCAACGCCAACCTCCTCGCCTTCTTCTGCATGGAATTCGCCCTCACTGAAAAACGCTCCACCGTACAAATTACCCCCTCGGGAACCGTCTCCCTCAACCCCTCCTCCACAGACCACAAACTCGAACTCTGGCGTTTCATGCGCTACCAGGGCGTCCATCTCCAAACAGCCCGAGACGCAGCCTTATCCCGCCACGCCTCGCTCCGCAAATCCATCATTAACGACCTGCAACACTCCTTTTCCTACCCCTGGAAATATCTCTCCCAGCTCAATGCAGATAAATTCTTCTCCGATATCATCGAGAGTATTCTGGGTGCTATATTCATCGATTCGCATGGGAATCTGGCTGAGTGTGAGAAGTTTCTGGAACGGTTGGGGCTGTTGTCGTATTTGAGGAGGATTCTGAAGGATGAGGTGGATGTCATGCATCCGAGGAATATCGCGCAGCAGATGGCGAAGGGGGAGATTAGGTTCGAGGTGGTGAGGGTGGTGAATGGGGATGGTACTGCTGGTGCTAGTGGGGAGGATGATGGGGCGACGTATCGGTGTACGGTGACGATGGCGGGCGTGGAGGGCGTGGCTGTTCTTGTGGAGGGGTGTTTGACTAGTGAGGAGGCGGAGATTACGGCGGCGGAGAGGGCAGTGGAGATTCTTGTGGGGAGGGGGTGTAGTTTGTGATTAGTATCGGGTTGATGGGGATGTTGGGTTATTTGGAGTTAGGGTTGGTGTTTGTAGTTGAGCGATCTTTTGGATATGAGAATGACATACACTACTGGCTCTAGTTCTACTTTAAATATTAGTCTGGATAACATGACCTGGTATTGATAATAATGCCACACGAATAAACTAACTACAATACAGAACAGCCTTAGTGGCATATCTTCAACCCTTCCTTCTTCCACCCTTCGCCCGAGATCGCGTTACCCTCTTACTGGGTTGTGGTTCGGGCTCTTCCTCAACCTCATTCTCACTCTCCGCCGACTGCTCTGCCTGTTCCTCTGACGTCTCAGCTCCCTCGCTGTGCGACTCGAGCTGATCATCTTCGCTACCAGTAGCAGCCACCATGACGCCGTCATCCGTTACATCTCCTCCCACGGACGAGCGGGTCTCTGTGCCATCAACGCTGCCACTGGAGATATTGGACGACTGCTGCTGTTCCTTGCGGATGCCCGCCAGGACCTTCTTCGCCTCGCTTTCCTCGCCGTTCCATGCGCCACAGTTGCCGCATCTCCAGCGGCCTAGTTCTTCAAGTGTCTTGATACCCGGGGGCGCCTGACCGTTGACAATCCGACAGGTGGAGCAGATCAACGCGAGCCGGTTCTTGGGCTGGGTTTCATCTTCACCTAGCAATACGTCCAGCAGGCGGTCGTACCAGTGAGACTGCTCCACATATTGTGGGGGCGTACTGGAGAATGCGTTTGGAGCGAATCCGGGCTCTTCGAGGCCCATGTTCATGTTTGGCGATCTCTGCTGCTGTGGTTGTTGTTGGCCTGGGAAATTTTGCGGAGACTGCTGGTAGTGCTGGAATGCGACTGGCGGGGTGGCAGGCGGCTGGGGAGAAGGAGGGAATTGCTGCGGTGCTGGTCGTCGGATATTCGCTGTCGGGGGCGGGGGGATACCGGTGCGCTGGACTTGCTGCTGCTGCTGCTGCTGCTGAGATGGTTGCCTGCGCTTCGCTCCCTCGGACTTGTTTCGCTTGGCGTCGCCAGACTTGACCGAGTTTGAGCGCGCGGGTTTGGGCGATTCCCCGCCGTACTTTTCTAGCAGTTGTTGGGTCGAGTTCCAGCGCGTGGCGGTCTTCAGGTCCTCGATGGTTTTCTCGCGTTGTTTGTGGAGATCGTCGAGGTAAGCCTGGGTTTTGGAGATGCGGTAGTCATAGTAGCGGGTGGATATGGTGCGGATGAGATAGATCCTGTACGAGAATGGTGGTTAGGAGCAGTGATGCAGGTGTGACGCTCCGCAATAGGGGTGGGGTGGGGGGTGGCAGGTCGCAGTGAGGGAGTAGATCAGGGGGGATTATGAACGTACAGGATTGGGCCACCGATGATCGCGCCGTATTCTGTTATTCCCCAATTCTGCCACCCGAGGACTAGAGCAATGATAATAGAGTAGAGGAGGTAGGCGAAGGTGGTGTAGAGAGTCCAGAGAGCTTTGAAGCGGCGGGCATGTTGACGGTGAAGGTCGAGACGGGTGGTGGCTCGGGTGATCTTGGCGGAGAGGGCAGCGAGGGCTTTTTCGAAGGATGCTGGAGAGGTGTCCTCGGCCTGAGAATGAGGGAATGGTAAATTGGTGGACTGGAGACTGGCGGTGGATGGGGACTGGACTTACCCTGAAGGGCCACAGGGACACCATGACGGGCTATCTGTCTAGGGAGTGTATCGGGGAGTAATCTAATCGAATAATACAGGTCGCACTAGGAGAAGGACATGGTAACTGAACAATAGGAAGCTTGAAAGAAAGACCAGGGTGGAATGGAGAGAAGAGAAAGAGAGAGAAGGGAAGGAAAAGAGAGGCGGAGAGGAAGGCGTGAAGAGGAAGAGCGAGTGGATGCAGGCAGAAAGTGAGACTCGCTCCATCGACGTCAACGTCAGCAGCTCCCGCGCACAGACCAACTTCTTTCATACATTTTCTCTCCATCTTCCCTTCTTCTTCTTCCCACTGTCTTTCTTCTCCTCTCCGTCTCTTCCACTCACCGCTATTACTATACCCCGCTGGTTCAACTTCGCTACTGTGATCCTTTCTCTTCAGGATAAGTTTCCAACCACACAATTTCAGCAGTGGTCCCGCTACATTGCCAAATCGGGCTCCGACACGATGATCTCTCCATCGCCGTTATGATAGTCTCCGCATCTAGCTGGACAACATCAATTTCAATAGTAATCCAGGCCAACCTGGGGGAATGATACATACTGTGGGATTTTTGGTATGAGCGCAATAGCTCTCATACCTGCCCAGGGACATCAACAGCTTCCGCTTGGTCATCCAGTCACGCTGCCCGCGTGACTCGCAGGTCTCATTGCTTGTTTTAGAACTCAGCTGGTCTCTGCTCCACATTACACTTGAGTAAAGAATTCCCAACTTCTTACGGACACAGTAATGAATCCCTTCGAAGCCAGACTGAAGTCAGCTATATAGAAAGGTCTCGGTCTCGTGACGAAACACGGCCTAGCGTTTCCGCAAACCTTTTGCAAGCCTTATAGTTTTGCCTGCAAAACGAATGCAGCTAATCACTCCATGACGGGATTGTCCCCGTTTCTGTTCCGCGACATAGCGTGTGGATTGCACCTGCGGTGCATCCAAGCAAGGGTCTTCGGACGTCTCCCTGTCTGCCAACATTCCGTCAAGCTCGCCACTCTCTGATCGGAAGATCTTCAAACTACCCTCTAGTGCATCACCGGCAGGCTGGTAGTTATCTACCAGGCCTCGCGTAACCCTGAACCCCTTCACTTCTCGTCGATATCATAAGCCCGGCTCCCAAGAAGCGCCATGGTAGCCCTTGTAGCTTCTAGCAACTCTGGTAATGACCGCAGTCATCATCATCCCATCGTCGAAGCCGCAGTCATCTAGTCACACAAGGCAATGTCGGATAAGGCTTTCTGCATAGACACATCGTCTAGCTCAAGGGCTCGCATAGGACACAGCCCCAGGTGGCTCGCATGCTGCCGCAGGGCTGCTGCCAGTGCACCTTCGCAGCCTTCATCTTCTGGGCCTGATTCTTGGCTATATGTAGACCTGCCAAGCCTCCAATGCCCGTAAGCACGCCCAAATCGTCCGACAAAGCAGCCTAAAATCCTGACTACAAGTTCTCTCCACAAAACTGAAGTCGGTCATCGTTTCAGAGGGCGAGTTTAGTCGTTCAGAGTTGTCGCAGTGAATTGGTAGACAATTTCATATCATGCAAGGGTCATCTACATCCTGGCGTTCGTTCATCGTTACAACCCAGTTCTACGCCCGGGTAACACCGATGCCTCCGAGTCATCCGAACTGAAGATCCAAGATGACGCATGTTTAGGATCGGCGTCGATCCTCATCGCAAGAATTGCTGGGATGTCCGGGGAAGTGAGCGATGTCGCAGGGATGTTACATTGGGGAAAGTATATCGTCCTTCCCGTCGTCTTTATTTGGCATTGCCTTACGGCACCAGCTCGTATTCCTGAACTCCGCCTTAATTATTCCACTTCCCTGGTCTGGCAAATCATTTGATCTGCCATTGCTAATGAACATTATGAGCATCGTACATTATGAACACGATACTTAATCGCAATAAAACATGCCACTATGTAGGGAGCATCACCGGTATCGAGTGCGGCCTGCAATGTTCGTCGATATGGACTTCTCGTATTCACGCAACAACACGAGCTCTCCACCGCACCATTTCTACGATTGGAGAGTGAAAGATCTCCGACTCGCCGTCGCATCGACTCGATGCTGAAGGTTTGAGACCTGCATCTCACCCTCACGTGCCCACCGTGAGATGTCATAAATATCGGTCCCGATTTAGCAATCAACCATTGAGATGTCTTGTATTCGACTCTCGGCGGTGCCGGAAAGTCCATTCAGAGATCCCTGTCTCATGACGTCGGTTCAAATTAGTCTACACTCAGCTGTAGGCGAGAGGTCGTGAATCCAATCGACGTCAACTAAAGTCATGGAACGCCTGAAGCCGTGGCAGGGTGTCCACGACCCGGCAGGAAGTGAGACAGATACGAAGAGCCAGAGACCGCATGACAACCTCGACAAAATATAGTATATATGGCCTTCAGTACAAGGAGCGAAAGGGAAAGGTATAAAGTAGGCCTTTTCCCTCGACATTCAAGGACTATTCCAGCAACAAAACAGCATTCCATCCCAACTTGTCTCTTGACCATCATCATCAATTAACCATCTAATTTCCCCTTCAATCAACCACCTCCTCCTCACCTCAAGATGAAGTCGATCAGTACCGTCCTCATTGCCCTCCTGGCTACCTCCGTCTCTGCGGGCCCTATCATTCCCGTTGTGACCATCGCCCTGGCCAACGACCAGACTGGTGCACAGGGCAGCGCCGCCGTCCCCGCCGACGGCAGTGTGCAGAGCATCTCGGCTCTGTACGGAAACACCGGAGTCGGCTCTGGTGGTGTGGTCAAGGCCTCGTCGGCGCAATTGACCAACTTCCAGGCGAACACCAACTGCGTGATCACGAACTACGGATCGGTTCTGGGTACCCTGAACTCCCGGAACACCTATGTGGATCTGGACGGAAATCCGAGTGCTGCGCAGCCGGTGGACCTGAGTGCTGCCACTGTCAAGTGCACTGTCTAGACGCTATCGCTACAGTGGAATGCCCCTTAGGATAAATGGTGGGAGGGGCTAGATTTTGGGTCATATTGGTCAGAGAGTGTCAAAGTCTAGGTTTATTGGGGAGGTAATGCGAGGGATTTCGGGTTACTCATGTTGATATACAAACAATGAAGTCAATCTTCTGCCATGCAATGACATGTAGTTCTCATAACTGTCCCCGTAAAGATCATCACAATGCAGTAGATGCCACACCATCTGTTTTGCCAAGCACCAGTCAATAGCAAATATATTAGAGTTGTCCTTGACAAATGACAGCCGGCCCACAATAAAACCTTATCTAGCGGCCAAACCCATCCGAGGGCCATAGCTTGCCTGTCTGGCTCCGGATCCGAGTCCCCGGACATCTCCTCGTTGCTCAACAGGAGATGGACCTGTCTTCACAGTTGTCTGTGCGTATCCCAAGACTCCGTCGCATAGGTCAACCATAATGCATCAAATAGCTCTATAGATTATAATGTCTCCCGGAGAGAATCGTCTCAAGTTAGTAGTAGTCCAACAGAGCATTATACAAACAACCTGACTCACTCCATAATTACATAGATGACTACTACATCGGCTCACATTTCCAGACCAGAATATCCGACCTCGCGACCAACTGATCATCAAGTGGATGAAATGCCCCCCCAATCTGTCCCCCCATCTGTCACTACAAACCAACATGACGATTTCCCGTGGGCCTCGAGAATTGTTGCTTTGTTCGTAGCTTCGCAGCTCCGCAACGGACGGCTCCAGACCCTTGCAGGTGCCGCTCTCAACCACGGATCCAAGGATGAACATATCAGAAACCTTATCTGCGGTTGATTGAGGGTTAGGTCTATGCAGCCCCCGGAGATGTTTTCTCCTACATCCACATTTGGTTCGGATATAGGACTTCAACTTCAGCAGTTGAGATACACACATTCTAGTTGAGTCTTTGTTGTACTCATACCCATAGCATAGCCCTCATATCAACCCTATATCATATAAACCAACAAGGTCTTCATGGCACCCAATCCCCCATCCCCAAATCAGATAATGACCCAACTACCACCACCATGAACACCACCACCACCACCACAACAGAACCCTCCGCCTCCACCCTCCCCCAACCCGACATCTATACAGCAATATCCCTCCTCTCCATCTCCATCTTCACCTGTCTCCTCCTGTACTACCTCATCTTCGACCTCTCCTTCTTCCCCCCAAACCCCCTAAAAGCACCAACCACAACCACCCTCCTTACCACAATAATAACAACAACAACAACAACAACAACAACAACAACAACAACAACAACAACAACAACCCTCCTCTCCACTACCTTCACCATCCTCCTCCTCTTCAACCTCCCCCCCAACAACCCCGCCGTCCGAATAACCTCCGCCATCCTCCTCGTCCTGGCCACCACCACCTCCAGCATATCCAACACCCTCCTCCTCTACTTCTCCCTCCCCCTAATAACAATCCACCAAAAACCCTCCGCCGCCTACTTCCAACTGAAAACCCAACGGATCATCCTCTACGGCATCGTGGCATCCATCCTCCTCTTCCAACTCCCCCACGTTATCGTCGCCCCCGCTGCAGCCACCCTATACAAGAATGGCCACTGGTCGCGTGCCGTTACTATCCTCGAGCGCATCTCGGTGACGGCTTATTGCGGGAGAGAGATACTTCTCCTGGGGTGTTATGCCTGGGGTGTGGTGAGGTATCTCCGGCCGGTTGTTGTTCACCAGTACCAATATCAATCCTATACGGGAGGATATGGGAACGGGAACGGGAGACAGTTACTGTATACCCTCCTAATGGCCGGCTGCATCTCGCTCATCCTCAACATAGCCAACATCACGGCCGTGTATGTGGTTCACACCGCTGCGGCAATGGCTTTTTTCCCCTTCGTGGTTAGTACGAAGGTGCTGGTTGAGGGTGTCGCGGTGGGGAGGCTTGTGGGGTTTGTTGCGAAGAATACTTCTCTTCACTATCATCATCAGCAGAATAGTATTTATTCGGTTACTGGGTGTGCGAGTCAGTCGAGGAGGGGCAGTACACAGCCGCTTATTACGCAGAGGGGTTCTGTGGCGATGATGTCTGGGGGGTTGGGGAGTAGTATTGGTGAGGGTAAAGATGGTGGTGGTGGTAGTGAAGGGGAAGGAAGTCCCGGGGGTACTTGGGGAAGGGAAAAGGAGTGGCGGTATAGGAGCAGGATGGGATCTGTTGATACGGTGGTGTCTGTGGCGGAGCCGCCGATGGCTCATTCGGCGGATCATTTGGTGCAGGAGGTGGTGGATTTAGAGGGTAGTGCTGGTGCTGGTGTTAGTCGGCGGACGTCGGTTGTATAAATGGGTGGGATTGTTGGTGGTGATGATTTTGTATAATATTTTTTTTTTTTTGGATATTGGTATGGGGTTTTGTTTGTGATTTTATTACATCTTGGGTTGTGACTAGATATATTTGATTTATCAAGTGGTCTCGTATGAAACGTTGAACTGGTCCCCTCAAGCACACGCATACATTTTACATTCTACATACCAATACTTTCCACTGAGTTGAGAGTTATACCACGCGTAGCTGTGTTGACCATTCATCATAATATCACACGTGATATGTAGTATACAAAAGGGATAGACACCAGCAAATTCTCGCTAAAGCTAAGCAGGTAGAACGAAAACAATAATCCTTGTAAAAATAGATAACCGAACTTGCTATATGGCTGTACGTGTGCTCATAGACCATTAAACATAACATAATGCATAAACCGACCAACCAACCAAGCCATGATAAATGAAGGACTCAGATCCCATGAGTTTAAAACACAAAGATGAGCCTAGACAAATCAACTAATGGGGTATACATGGACAAAGAAATGTAGAATTTTCACAAGACGAGGCTCCAATCAAGTCGAACACACGTAGAATGCCGATCATTCATTTTCTTTCGTCATGTCGCGGTCGTGACTTTTGTGTGCTGTTGTAAAGTAGATGTGAATAATCATGCGCTCAAATGCATGACAAAAAATGGATAACGTATTCCGTGTGGACATACGCTATTTTGAGAATAGAAAGATGGTGATGATGAGGCAAAATGGTGGTGCTACTGCTTCTCGGGAATAGGCGTGAACCAGCCGCCTTGTTCCCAGTCGCAGCCTGGATGATACGTAGCAGCGTTTCTTGTATCTCCCGTTTCAAGGCCTTCAAAAAGCATGTTAAGTCGGTTGAAGTTGATGGGTTTCATGACCCAGCCATCGAAGCCTGCATCAACATATAAGGACATGTCCTTCTCCAAAAGAGAGGCTGAAACTGCAAATATGGGGATTCGATTGTTCAGGTTTGCGACCGATGAGAGCTCTGTCGAATCGGACGAGGTTTCGAACTGGCGGATCATTTCCGTCGATTTGATACCATCCACAATCGGCATCTATCTTGCATTAGCATGTCTATACTAACAAATACCTAAGGAAGGCCTACCTGGATATCCATCAAGACGACATCATATTGCGCAGAATCGGCTCGGTATGCAGCTGCGCACTCCTCACCGTTTACTGTCAGTTGGACAGTGTGGCCTAGCTTCCCGAGCCTCTTCTGTACAATCTTGCCATTGATAGGGTCGTCTTCGGCCACGAGAACGCGGTACTTGCCAGACGGGGCTTTAGTGTCCGAGTCTGCAGGAGCACTCGTTGGAGCGGGTCCTGCAGGGCCTGCAGTAGTGCTTGCCGGTTTGTCGGATATGGACAGATTCTGCACGTTCTGCTGCAAAGCACGTGTGACGTCATCCAATCTTTCAGGGGTGGAAGGCAGCGTAACGAGTTTCCGGCGATCTGAAGAGGGAAGCAGACCAGCAGCTTCGTCTTTCGTACGATCAATAGATTCCTCAACTACCAGTTTGGCGTCCAGCTCGTCTGCAGACGGGCTATTCGCGCCACGATAGCTACCACTGCGTCGCCATCCATCACTTGGTGCAGACGAGCTGCTGTCGACCAAGACAAACTCTTCCTTGGCCTCGAAAGGAATGGCACTATCGTCCTGCGTTGACGTTTGTGGGGTTTCGGGTTGGTCAGAATCCGTATCCTCTGGTGTAGCAAATTGAAGCGAAATCTGGAAGCGGCTACCCTTGCCTTCCTCCGACCGCACTGTGAGCTGACCGTGGGTATTCCGTACAATGCGAGACACCAAAGCGAGCCCCAACCCGAGGACACCTTTCTGGCGTTCACTCTCAGTATGCTGCGAATGATTGTTAGGATCTCGGTCGAAAAAGTAGCTGTCGTCCTCTGAGGAGACCTGCTCCAATTCCTGGAACATCGTCTCCAGTATAGCGGACGACATTCCGGTCCCCGTATCAAGCACCGTCATGTGTATGGTTGCAAACCCAGGCTCTGGATTGCCAGGGGCTCGCCACATTTCGACAGTGACGCCACCCGTAGATGTATGCTGGATTGCATTTGAGATCAGATTTGAAATTGCCTGCCGAACACGCCGTTCATCACCCACGACGGTCTTCGGAAGCCCGGGGTGGGCGTGGACCGTATACTCAATCCCTTTCCGGTGCGCCTCGCCGGAAAACATGCCGGTGGCTTCCTTGAAACATAACGGAAGATCGAAGGGTTCATCTTTGATCAGATTGTGTCCCTTTTCGGTGTTGGTCAGGTCCAATAGGTCGTTGATGACGTAGATCAATGATTTCGAGGCGGAGTAGGATTTGGTAAGGTTGTCGCGAGTCTCCGTGTCCAAGGCACCTTCGAGAGCAATTTCTAGATAATTGACAATGGCATTCAGCGGGGTTCGGACTTCGTGGGCTGAGTTAGCCAGAAGCAGCTTCGTCAACTGCGAACCTTCCAGCGCAGCTTCCTGTTGTCTCCATACTTTGATAAATTTGCCATAGACCAGGCATAAAACGGCTGCAGTCTCTACTTCCGATTCACTCCATTCACGAGCCCGGTCCATGACAGTCTCAGTCCAGACCTGGAAACTCGCGCGAGGTTCGAGGTGACCATTTTGCAGAAGTTTCGTATAAGGATTGCCACCCCATTTGATCTGCGTCAGCTCGCCCTTGCGGAAGAAGACGATAAAGTCCTTGCCATCGGCCGACAGAGGCACGTACAACATGCCCGAAATCTCCTTGAAGCCTGGCGGGTAACGCAAGTCTGGAAAGTCCTTCTTCACATGATGCGATGCAACGACGGAATTGAGCTGGCGGATCTTGAGAAACTCTAGCAGAGCCAGCATCTCCTGTGACTCGGTTGACTTTCCGAGGATCTTGGTCTCCCCTCTGATAGACAATGCGCCGTAGTCCGCATCAAAAAGCTTCAGTAGATCATCCGATGAGGCAATTATGTAACCAGAGGGGTTTGCATCCGTAGGTATGGTGTTTAGGAGCTTGCGTGCCTGGAGACGTGATGCGTAAGAGAGACGCTCAATGTTCCGAGAGAGTGTGTCACCGATCAACCGACACATTTTCCGAATCGGGAAAGGGACTCGCATGCCGGCGTCTCCATATGAGTGGCAGGAGATCAGACCCCAAAGATCATGCGTGTTGTTGATACTGATCGACATGGACGCACGGACCCCCATGTTCGCTAGGTACTTGATGTGGATAGGCGACATTGCACGCAAGTAGGCATGCGTCATGTCCAGAGGTGTCTTGAGATCCTCGATGCCTCGACACACCAACCGTGAGCTCATCTGCTCACGGTCGTAGAGTATGCGTACTTTGTTGAGACGATACAAGTCGCGGGCTTGCTTCGGAATATCCGATGATGGGAAATGTAACCCCTTATACAAGTCCTTGGTCATTCTCGTGTCAACTAATTCTGCCACCACATCTCCATTGGCCTCGCTATCGAATTGATATATCATGACGCGGTGAAATCCCGTCAACTCTTTAACTATGCCAATCGTAATGTTGAGCAAGGCGTCCATGTTCTGGGCGTCACCAAGCTGATCCTGAATCTGGCTAACAATACTGAACACCTCCATGGCAGCTGCCTCGCCCCTCCTTCTGCGTGCATTGCGAAGCACTCGTAGCGGCTGGCTGATGTTCACAGTGCTGCCTGCTAATTGATCCGGTGTTGGCTCAAAGCCCAGAGTATCTGTCGGGGATGTAGGTGTTGTGCGCCCAGCAACGTTGAGAGGGTTAATGCGGTCGTCCTCCAATTCGAACTCACAGATGAGCACATCCCGGTGAGCAGGGTTTACATGAATGGCACACCAAAAGCGTCGAGGCCGGCCAAATTGATCCTTGACAGCAAGGATGAATACCTCTGGGCCATCGCTAACGGGGTCGTATCCATCGTCTTTAATGAAGTCAATGTGATCGAGGAGGATGTCGGTCTGATCGTCATGCAGGAGGTCAGAGAAACTCTCCAGCGCAAAAAGGCTGCTTGGTGAGTGACCCAGAATAGCTTCAGAATTTTCACTAGCTACATGGACCGCTAGTGAACCCTCAGATGTCTCGCGCAAAACGAGCATAACGCCAAAGGTTTGCACGGCGCCCGGAATGTGGATCGGTTCGTCTTCACAGGCCCGAAAAGAATCGGGTGTATTGCCTGTTATAACAGCATGACCCGCCGCCGTGACCACGTGCTGGAACCGCGAAGTAACAAGGCTCGCATGGCCCTCTTCTGGCGCCACTTTCCTGTACGTGGAGCGTTCGTCCGGCGGAGCGTCTCGCTCGGCAGCGCTCGAGGCCGGCGAGAAGACATCAGAAGACTGCTGCGAGAGCCGACCGGTCGACTCAGGACTATGAACAGGCGCGTTGGGAGACGGATTGGTATGTGGCGAACTAGTAGATTGTGAACTCAATTGGTCCCAAGTATCGGCGTCGATAATTGAGTATGAGCGAGCACCACTTCGCGGAGAACGGATTCCATTTGGTATGCTTTGCTGAGTAGTGTCTGTAGAAACGGGATTGAAGGAAATGATTGACCGAATAGGGTATACTCGGTCCGTGCCGCCTACAGTCGTACCGTCCATGGAGGTATTGTGGCCTTGATCTGGAACAGTTGTTTCTTTGTTAGATGTCGGCGGTACTTCGGGAGCATGAGGGTCGAGATCCGTGCCCCGACCTGTCGAGGTGGGGGGATTGTTCGAATCCATTTTCGGACTAGGGGGGAGGAGCAGTGGCCCGGTAGAAAATTGTTTGCTCTCCACGTATGCTCAACGTGACATTGGCAAGTTGTGACTATGGGGTGACCTGGGCGATGCGAAGCAAGTGGTTTAACCGGAGTAAAATGTTGTCCTCCTAATTCGACCGCGGGGAATAATCCCGGTCGGTTGCCCAAGGCAGCCAGCGGGGCGAAACTGCTCGATATGGGGGAACGGGGCCGCAAAGAAATACTCGACGCACA